TAGAGCTTCATATCCAATTTCACTAAAAGTACGTTTTGACCGTTAACTATTTCTTTCAATCTGGTTCATTCAGATAATGTTTGCAGAAGTTTAAAGTAATTTTGCTAATATTGCTTCAAGGCTCATGTTGTACTTCTGACGGTCAAATTTAAATACAGCTTTCAACTCGAATTCACGCTTTCCCTGAGGCATTTTCTGAAAAAAGACCGCGATTTGAACAGAAAAGGCTGCGAATCTTAGAAAGTAACTCTCCACCAATTATTTCAATACAAATATTGAAACTCAGAATAGCAGAATCGAAGTAGTATTAAAATATTATCTTTATGTAGACATTTTAAAGCTATGCGCTACACACAAAACCAAATTTAAGTTAATGAAATGACAGTACGCGAACCACTCACAATATTTAGAGACTCGTACTGTTTACTACCGGTATTACTGCATCTCCTCTCTGAACGTACTGCCTCTTCCTTGCAAGGTCGACCCGCAGCAGAGAGCTCTCCCGTCCATCTGACCGGGTCGGGAGCGAGCCAGCGTCAACACTGCGCGGCCGCGGTGCTAAGTATATTACCGCCCGGAGCCGTGACCTGCTCCGGGCCCGGCTTTGCGCTGCCTTTGGAGGGCGTTTCACGTCGAGAATATAAAGGAGACGCTGGACCGCGCTCCAGTGTGCGTAGGATGAGGCTGCCCCAGCCCTGCCGTGTTGACAAACGCCGCAAAGTGAGATCTTGACAAGGCGAAATCTCATACGGTTCTCCGTTTTGAGAGATGCCGCTCCAATATTGCTATTTACTCTCTTTCTTATGAAAGAGGATGCACGATTAGTATGCGAATTGTCAACATTCGTTTTACTGGATCTAGTTGCTTTGGTATTTCTCGTTCCAGTACAGAAATGACTTACGTACATGTAAAATATTTAAACTCTACTGCCAGTCAGGAATGTATACACCTGCGTTCTATTGAAATCATTTCATGTAATAAAGCGCGATATCTTGATTCCCAACATTTCTTATCCTATTGAATCGTCGAGAAAGTTCAATTATTAGCTTCAATTTTATTTGCTTGACTTTTTATTACACACAATTTGTAATCGCACACAAATAAATAATTGATAAAGTGAACACTAACCATACACTTTGATTTTTACAGATTTATTATCCAGAAGTATTTAATAATAATCAAAATTATGTAAAGTTGACTTTTGTTTCGAAACAATGTCTAGTGTAAGTATTTAACTTAAAAAGTGTGTTGTGCGATATTCACTTTTATTAGTGAATCTCTAAAAACGAAAATAAGGTTTCTAATTCGTAGATATCTTGGAAAGGATCTCTACACCAATTGTTTCAATATAAATATTGAAATTCAAAACAGCACAACCGAAAAAGTATCTAAAAATGTGTATAGGCATTTCAAACATAGTTTCTACACGAGAACATTAACACCTAAATTTAAGTTAACGAAGTGGCAATTCGCAAAATGCATCACTCACAAAATTTACAGACTCGTTAGCGATGTTGAAGGTGGGTCTCCCGCAAACGTCGCACTTTTCAAACCTTCCGAGAGAAAGTGCAAAATGCATAAATATTAAGAGCGAAAGAACAAAGGAGATTAGCAAAGCTGGAATTCTATTCAGCGCAAACAGAAAGCAAATTTAGGCAATCCTGGAGGGGGTAAAAGGTGCGCTCTCCCCGCTTTCCCAAATCCGCAGGCTTTTGGCGTCCATTTTCGCTGAGTGTAAAGCGCGAGACACGGAGCAGATGACAGAAACAGTCATTTCCCTTAACTCATTCTCACCCTTACTCCTGCGTGCATAATTCAAGGGTTGTGGTTAGCTGCCATTTTAGGAAACTCGGCGAACCTTTTGGTGTCCGTATTTCATGTATCAAATATGAGGAATAAAGAGAAGTTCGCTTTAAGGCAAAAAATCTGCTAAAAACTGTGAAAACATTTTAACATTCAGTAATACAGAGAAAAAATAAATGGGACATTATTTAAAATGCATTTTATACATACATGTTTAGTGAAATATTTCAAATGCGTTTGTAAAAATGTAATATTAATACTTATCATTAAATTTTAATAATTTAGCAACGCGCACTGTTAGACAGCATGTTTTCCAATGTTATTTAAAATGTATTTTGCTGTAACAGAAATGTTGAGCGCTAATTGAAAGGAGACAACTACTATGTTGTTATTTCATACAGACAACGCTAACATTTCTAAACAAGAGCCCTATAACACCACACAATGAATATTATGAAAATAATTTACACGCAAATTCTAACCCAGAAGTACATTATTAAACTGGACACACACATCAAACAGAAGCAAATATCGAAATGTGCCGAAGATGCAAAACGTAAAATAGCTTCATCACGTCCACAGACGTCCAACTCTGTCGTCGGCCGCTCCCAAACGAGCGACGCGACGGGGGCGATTTTTCACGCGGAAAGCGCAGCAGCCTCCTTTCAAAAGGGCGCCCCGTTGCGACAAGCCACGACGGCTACCGGCGGCGGCCTTGGTGGTAGCGGTGGCAGGGTTAAGGGTCCAAACAAACAAGAGTTTACCCGCGTCTGTGGGAAGCACCTCCCACCAGGTGGCGACCGCCGACAGGGGGCGGGCGGGAGGTGGTGCGAGAACGGGAGGGAAGTGTCGGAACGGATAACCGTTCGCCTCCGCCCCATTGACGCTTTGATTAACGAGCGACGACGGCGCAGCCGACGGCCCGATGGGCGAACTGCCCGGCCGGGAAAAATGACAAGGCATCTCTCCCTCCCCCCCCCACCCCGGCCAGCTTAACCACGCTCATCACGCTGCGAGCTCCCTCCAGGCCCCGCCCCAGCTCCTTCCCTCCCATTGAAACTCGCCCCCCGCGTTCCTTTGCCCACCGCCAGCAGTGGCGCAACAGACGGCCTCAATCCGTAAGAGCGCCCGGGAAATAAATTGTACGCGCTGGTCTAATATTCCCCCTTAATTCTGTGGCCACATGCGAAAATAACGAATTTAAACACGAGCGTGAGTTACTATAGGATTAGAAGCGTTTCCGTAATCATTTATAACGAAGCGATCCGGAACTGAAATTTTCCCATCGTTTCCGATGTTGATTATTGTGACGAGAACGCGAGTGTCTATGGGTCATTCAGCATATCACCGACAAATGTACAAAACTCACTTCGCCACAAAGGTACTACATGACTGCGAGTGCTGCCGAGGCCTTTCTTTAGTGCATCCGTGTCCATCAAAATGGACGGCACGAAAGACAGGTTAATTCGCCGAGACAATTTCTGTTAAAATGCATTGAGGGGAAAACGTGACAAATGCAGCCAACAATAAATGGGAAAAAATAATGTGTATGCTGATATACGAGTTACATTAACGACCAAATTGAAATATATTAATTGTTACCCAGCAATAATCGGCATAGTAACAGAGATTATAAGGAATTAGTTTTCCCAAATTCATAGTTCTAAGGTGGGCGGATCATCATCAAAAATAATTAATAAGCAAACTATCCAAAAAATTAATATTCATGTTAGAATTTCGCCTTTGATGGTCCTTATTTTAGAAATGAATGCAATGAACTTTCATATTTCCTTTACATTATTTATTTTCCGCTCCCTTTCTTCCTTGTTTTCCATCCATTTTATATTTCATTCTATTTCCTTTTCGTTTCCTCAAAGGCGTACTGGAACAACCAAGCAAACCACAATTTAATAAATAGCGTAATTGAGTTACAAAAATACCTGGTTTAAAGCGAAAGAAGAGAGACTCGCGACTGCAATCAAAGACAGGAGTTGTGAAGGCTGGAGTACGATGCGATTGGCGTCACGAACCTACATGCATAAATCGCGAATCCGCAAAGGACAAGGACGTACAACTCTACCGTCCGTGAAGCAGTCCCTATCGGGAGCAGCATCCAACTCAAAAACCAGAACAATTGCCCGAAAAAGAATCCCGCCGGAAGAATGCGAAAGAATCCCCGCCCGGCGTAGGGCGTAGCCCCTAGGCGGGGGCCTTACGGGACAGTCGATGCAATACTCCGCTGGAGGCAAGTCGAGCGAAGAAAACAATCGCGCCGACGTCGACGGGCGTTTCTCGCCGGAAGCCTCGGCGCGGAAATCCACTCCGACACGCCCTCGTAGGCCCAAGCTGTCGGCCGATTTCCGGCCCCGCCCCCCTACCCTGCCCCCGGCTTCCCCCCGGGCTTCTGCTGCCTCCCTGCGCCGACCCAACCTCCGAAGGAGCGAAAACAGCCCTTCGCGAGCGCCCGCCGCTCCGCGCCCCGCTTCTCAAGGCCCGCGGCGCCTCAACTGGGCAGAAAATTCGCGCCCAAATCGTGAGATCTGAATCTACTGGTCGTGGGAGAAAGTGGAGTCGACTTGATGCCCCAATGTCAGCCGAAAGTTATTAAAGACATTTTTTGGTGTGTAGATATGAAGGTAAGCAGCGTTCTGGTTATAAAGTGCAAGGCGCCCCAGAGAAAACATGGAGCCTGCTGGAGTAGATGAGTCCTTTTGTTAATACGAAAGTTACTCTCACACAGTTATTCATTATTATTATTATTATTATTATTATTATTATTATTATTATTTGCATATCGACATATCTGATCACACTTCACGATTAACACGTGTGGAGCTATAGGGATCAGCTTTTTCTGCTTCTCCCTCAGTAAGTCAAGGTTGTTACGCCTTGAAATGTGAATTATGAGATGATTTGATGATGATGAGAGGCAAGTTGCCCCAGCTGCCGCATCTTCTGAACGCATATGTGAACGTGTCAATGCCAATTTGTGTAAATTCCGAGATGCCAAGAAATATGAATGCCAATTTTTTACATTAGATGTTCCGGATTTATGTAATTAGGCAAAGGTTCTTCTTTCCGTGATCAAATAATTCATTGTGAGAAGAAGATATGGAAAAGGTAAAAAGTGTACTATAAGAAAGCTCTTACTCACATGTTACAGCAGTCGAATGACGAAGTGTCCGTACTTCACGTACATTATGTAATATTCCATAGCGTTTTCTTTTTCGTGATAGTTGTTCTGACAAATCCTGCAAAGAAAATTTTTCAGTGTGAAAAAGTTATAGATCTAAATATAAAAATCATAAATTCTACAATAAATTTAAGATATTTAGTCAGTAGTTTCTATTTATTAACATTAAAAATAATGTTTACCACCGTGCACCAATAGTGCTTTAGGCAAAAGATAAATTTTCAAAAACAACGAATTTCTTTGACAAACATCTTCAGAAAATCTTCTCTTTGGGAAATACATGAATAACGGAATAAGCGTCCGTATGATTCCGTCACTACAAGGAAGACATGTGGAATCGATGAAGACCTTTCCCACCCGCTGACCTCCCTCTTTGCACTACGATTCTGTCGGGGGCGTCACCTTTAACTTTCGCGGCCTACGCCCGTCACCTCCAGCCTCCCGCCCTCCTCCTCCTTTCCCGTTTCCGGGCCTCACCCGAGCGCACACTTGGGCTGTCCGGGCAGCTTTCTCGCCCCGCCGCCTGACATGCAGATCGCGAGCCTGCCAACTTTCACGAAGCCCCTTCGCCTCCTCGGCCGCCCCCGCGCGCCCCCCGCGGGCGGTTACAGTACTCGCCACGCCGCGCCGCGCCGCCAGAGTTCGCGAGCGGCGAAGGGAGACGGAAGCGGAAGGCACGGCGCGGAAGTTGCGCGATCCGGGGGACTTTCCGAACGCGCCCGATTTCAAATTGTAATGGCGCCGCGGGGGCGCCAGCGCGCGGCGGTCGGGAGTGTGTGGGGAGGCTGCAAGTCGGAATAAATCGCGAGGGATGATCGGGCGCGAACGATCCTTCCGCCTCGTTGCCCGCGCGGTGGCGAGTTTGGGCCGAGCCACTAAGCGAGGCTCGGTCACTCGGCGCCGGCGTTCCATTTTGTTTATTTAGGGAAAATGCGATTATACAGACGCGTTGGGCGGGGGGACGGGAAGCAGCGGGCGGCGGTATTTCGTTGGAGCGGAGGAAAACACATTCCCGAAGAAGGGGGCGGCCAGCCGGGCGCGGAGAGGCGCCGCCGCTGCCTGGCGGCTGCCGCAAAGTCAATCTTATCTCAAGAGAGGCTGAGCGATTCAATATCCCGGCGTGGAGGAGGACTCCCCTGCACCTCGGCGGCGGATCTTTGTAAACAGCCACCGCTCGAACCGCTGCCCGCGTACAAGACTCCGCATGTTTTTCAAATATATGACTCCTGCATATTGGGAACGTGTACATGGATTATGTATCAGAAGGTCGAAGGCGAGTGGATACACTGGCAGCAGTGGAGCTCGCAAACAACCGCAGTCAGTTTTACGTCATCTCGCACTTTTTGGGGCTCAAAGTTTATAGTACATTTTTTTAAATATGAAATTACGCCAGATACATTGGCAAAATTATATTTGCTTTGACTCCGAATACCGCAAATTTGACATACGGATTTTGTACTTATAGTATCTGCAGTAATACTTTGTAAACGCCTAAACACCATTTTTTGCAGTAAAAATACGAATCAATCTTGTTTATTGTATTTCTGCAATTTTTATTACAGCTGAATAAAACGTCAAAGTCGTTTTTGCCCATAACACAACAAGCATTTACCGAAGTACGAGAAAAAAGTAATACAAAAAATGTCGTGGCTGCAATAAACATTTCAAAACCTCTGCGGTAATATCTTAATTATTTTGTAGGAGTGCAGGCAATACAGTTTTCTAATCCGTATTTCTCCCAGTTCTAACTGAAAAATAAGTCGTACTATTCTTTTATAATTGCATTGCGAGTTTACTATAAAATTGTTAAACCAAACAAAATCTTTTAATAATACATTTGAATTATCTGTATTATCTATTATTATTTTGAAATAGTAGTCAGTAATGTAATAATGCTAGAAATATTTTCTCAAGATGACAGGAAACATAATGATTATTAAAAATCAAGAATAAGTTCTAATCTTTATCAATGCTCAAATTTATTAGATCATAAAAGCTATTTTACTAATTTTCTACCTTCCCATGGAAACTCCATTTGAACAGATGAATTTTGTAATTTATGGAGTCTTCACTGATCTCTCGGAAGGACGATAAGTATCACCAAACACGTGAGAAACTTGTCGTAACTCAACCCCAAGTAAAAGGAATCGGACCTAAAATGGCGGCGATAGGCCTGCGGCGGTGCCTGTTTCGCCTGCTGGAGCCCCGCCAAAGCGGTCCGCACACGCCAACACCCCGACCGGCGCAGGCACTTAGTTCAAGCGGGCCCAGAGACCCACGCCCGCCCCGGATCCTCTCGCCTCGTCCGCCGTGAACTCGCCCCGCATCCGCACCACGATGCACCGCTCTCGGATTCGCCCCACAGGATAGCCGGCCGCCTTCGTTCAACCGCTGCCCCCACACGCGCGAGTACTCGCACCACGCTGTCGACTCCATTGAACACAGGCTTAAGAAGCGGTCGGTGTGCGGAACGATCCCATTGGGAGCAGGGGGTTCTTCATCTCGAGGGCCTCCACGCCATCTACTCTTAATCTACTTCCTTTCTTTGCCTCTCCGCTCTCTCCCTTCCTAAAACTTACTCCCGACTTCCCTAGTGGCTCCTTTCTGCTCTAATTTCTGCCAACTGTCCTCGGTTCTTTCATCGATTTATTTCTACTTCACTTATTCTTCCGCCTCTTTCTACCAACTCCCTCCTTGCGCCACGTGTATCTTCTCCGCTTCCAACACGTGTCTCTTCTCGGCCTGTTTTTCTACTTATTTTCTCCATTCAATTGACTTTCAACTATTGTCTTCTCTCGTATCTCCTACGATATTTTACTCCTGTCTTCTATTTCATCTCTTCCATTCAATCTATTTAAATAATTTTATTTTTTATTTATAACATCTTATTTGTAATAACTATTATAGTATAATTCGTTTAAAAACGTTATCAACGATCCTAAAATTTCCATAATTAAAAATTTAACACATTTTTCTTCAGCGTTAATTTTATATTGCCTAGTATGTTTCGTCGTCTTTTTCATTAGAAAATTTTTCAATAATCAAATTTGATACTTAGAATGTATTTTATATGTATTCTCGTTTGTTCAACGAATCAAGCTTATTTTTATTTTTATTTTTAATCCATTTCCATTACTTCTTTATTCCCAGCTGCCACATATTTCACAACTTACAATTTCCCTCATCATCGATAGGCCATTCCTTCTGCAGTCGTATATTTCTCCCAAGCTCTCCCTCTGACGACAATTCTCACACATTTGACCCTGGACGGAAAGCCATTGTTCTTCTGGAGCCGTGTATCTTCATTCTAAAAATCTTCGATAATACAGCTGTGTGAAGGTAAAGCTTTTCGTTCCCTTGAAATTTGCGAGAACACAGGTCATACTTTAAGCGTACCTAGACGAGAGAACAAAACATCAAGATTGGAGCGAATTTCCATTATAGATATTGTTTAAAGAGTCCATTGTTCTCAAAGTACTTTGTTGAAACTAAACTTATACAAAAGGGGCCCAATAGACTAATAAAGAGAGTTCCTTCCTAGAAAATTACAAAAATTCTTGATGAAGAAATGCCTCAGGCTAGCAGATTCACTTCCATTTTACACAAACCCTCTGAAAGTAAACTCTCCTTCAATACACATTTTTCTTCCGCCACCGTTTAAGCCAATTTTCCTTTACGTTCTCTGGAAAGAATGAAATACATACGGTATACAGAGGAACGAAAATTGTCTCATAAATCTACACAATATGTTGTAAAACATCCCGACTATTGCTTTTATTATGGCACATTATGTCATTGTAAATTGCCAATACATTTTTTTGAAAGAAAATCTATCGCTGTAGCTACACGAAACTCTCCTTTTATTCGTTTCCAAACATTGAACTTCCAAACATTGAACTATGAGCAATTGAAACCATATTTCGCTTACTGTAATAAAAGTATACTAGAATTCAAGCGATATGTATATGCATCTCTGGCTTTTCTTTGAAATAAAAATACATCTTGCAGATCATTACTTACATTCTATTTTGATTTTAACATTTCAGAATACATCTTCCAAAATGCTCTATAAAATAGAACACAATATTTAGCTTGTATGCGACACAAACATTGTTTGTTTTATAACCGAACATATTCATTTTGTAGTACTCGAGAACCCTGGTTCCGTCCGCCCATCACTCACGGTTAGGCCCCTTCCGAGCTACAAATCGAAACAAATGAGATGTTATTCGCCGCGCCTCGGCCTTCTGGCAGGTCACTGGACATTGTTTCCGAAAACTTTGAAAACATTCTAAGATAAATATCACCTCGCCCCACGATCTTCTCACAATGTTCCTTACAATCATCTTACGACAACTCTGTTCACAATGTGCTCTTCGCACTGTTTTCTCATAACGCACTTACGTTGCTTGTTAGAATTCTAGGCAGCTGTTTATTCTATTCAATTCCACGCTCTGGTGTATCACGAGCTGGATACCGCTCATTTATGTTCAACTAGCTCTCGTCATATATGTTCACTTAGTTCTGACGCCGACTACAGATGAACAACTTCCTGGCCATGCTTCTGTAAATTAATTTATTGCCACTCGCTGCAAGCGCTGTCTCACGCTTCATCAACGTGAGAAACAGGCGCCGGGCCCGGAGCAGCCACGAAGCTCCGAGCCCTTCCGAGCCGAACGCTTTGACCGCCGCGCGACCCAAGCGAAGCGGTTACAGAATTCTCAGCCTTGTTCTTGCTCTGCAGGCGTCCATCACGCCAACCTGTGCAAGCGTTCTCTCACTGCACTGCAGCTTGTGGTATATGCAATATGCATAAACTCATGGACTCATCACCTCCCAATTACAATGTAGAAGTGATTAATCTTAGTGTTACGCCATGTCTTCGGCCAGAGCAGACGTTTTCTCATAAATGCTCACGCACTCAATTACGCATATCCTAATTAGCCTCATGGCTCTATGCGTGTTACATGCACTATGCATAATCTCATGAACACAATACTTTCCAGTTACAATGTGGAAATGATTAATATCCGTATTATTACATATCG